GTACGCGTGACGTGCATCTAAATTTCTCACCAAATTTACATTTTTTTCTTTTGATTCAAATCAATAATTAGTCAGAAACATGATTATTATGTTGTTTATTGTGGTTTTGAAATGTCTTGATCTCCTCATGTGTTCTCATATGCTTTACCATCGGAGATGTGCACAAGTCGATACCCAAACCAAAAAATCATTCAACTGTAACGAGCGCTTTGGGGTATATATCGTTACAATGAGACAAGGTATTTGAAAGAAATATGGCGGAATACGGCTATAGTTGGTATGAAACAAGTCGTACATAGATGAAAATGTTGCGTTTTTAAGAATTCATGTCAGCTTTAATATGGCTTTAAAAGAACATCTGCAAATATAAAATATTCATGGTTTTAATTTTTTTCTTCTATATCTGTCTGCTATTTGAAAATCTTTCTACTTTTAACTTTTTATAGGAGACAAGCTCAGCAATGAAGTTACACCACGGCCAATTCCTGCAAAAAGAGGAAGAGAAATCAACAGTTAGTTGTATGATAATTTTTAAAATGACCTCTTGAATGAGCTTTAAAAATTTCATATATTGTTGGCCATTTTTCTAAAATTTACTTTGAATTATTTTTTTATTAAATTATTTCTTTTTAACAAAGAATCTTTCAAGGAGAGCACAAAGGTAAACAACATTTTACGTAATTTTTGTCCCCCGCTTGAAAAGTGGGGGATATTAATTTGGGTCTGTCCATCCGTCTGTCCGACTTTCTGTCTGTCTGTAACGCTTTCGTTTCCACATGATATCTCGAGAACCCTTTGAGCTTTCGCAATGAAGATTTGCATAGCAACTCCCTATGGACTAAAGAAGAAATCTATTGATTTTGGGGTCAAAAGGTCAAAGGTCAAGGTAATAAATTCGCAAATTCTGACTGTTATAAGACTTTCGTTTCCGCGCGATATCACGAGAAGCCTTTGAGCTTTTGCAATGAAATTTTACATAACAACTCCCTGTGGCCCACGGAAGACCCCTATTGATCTTGAGGTCAAAAGGTCAAAGTTCAAGATCGAACATTTATACATTCTCTCTGTGTGTAACACTATTCTTTCCGGGCGATATTTCAAGATGATTTTGAGCTTTTGCAATGTAATTTTATACAAAAACTCTCTAGGACCTCTCTCACCCCTCTCAAAGTGTCCCGCCTCGTTTGTTTTATAAGTATTTATTGTATTACATGTCGCTATTTTTAGCAAAGGGGCATGAGGAGAGTTATTACGTATAAAACAGGTTCTCGGCAGACTTTATATTTTTATTACATTAGAACTGTTTAATAAAGGTTAAATTGGACACCATGCATTGTGTAAAATTTTGACAATATCAAACGTGAATATATACATGTATGTGACTTCATCTTTGCATATAATTTTCGCTAGTTTAAAGCGGTTCCGTGGTCCAGTGGTATGTCTCTCGCTTCACATGTGAGAGGTTCCGGGTTCAAACTGAACGATCCATTTTATTTTTTTCCCTAAAATACTTTTTTTTTTACTAGATAATAGTATTCAGCATGCGAAAATGAAAAAAAATATGAGGTGTGGCTTGTACAAACTCATAAAATCATCATTACAGTGTGATAAATATTCCATATAAAAAGAATCTTCTATACACATAATAAAGAATAAGCAATCAGATCTTTATACCCAAATTCACTCAGGGGGATCCGACTCCCTCCCCCCTCTCCCCTTGAATTGCGCATGGTTTACTTTTTCCCTAAACGGGGGACACAAATTCTCTGAATTATCTTGTTTACGTTCCTTTAGAATATGCATATGGCATTAAAATAATTCTTTTCCCTCAGGATATTACCAATAATACCGGTATTGCAGAACTCTAGTATTCTCTTTCTTTCAATGTAATGAGCCAAATCTAGCCAAGTTAGTATACCCCTAACCACTCTTCAAGCTTGCCAAATTCGTCAGAAGACAATGACAATATTCATAGAACATGTTCAGAAAAGGTATCTTTTTGTTGACATCGATACAAATATGATAATCTGTTGAAAACATCTTTTCTAACTTTTCAGTTGACTGACTTTTCGTTAAAAAATTCAAATATTTTTCTTGCTTACACAGTTTGTTCTTTTTCTTCTTCAGAAGTCGTCTCCAACCAAGACAAGAAAAAGCATCAGAACCCGTGTTTTAAAGTTTTTCGGACGTAGTGAGTAATAGACTGAGTAGAGAGTGTAAGACTCGAGTGAGTGAGAGAAGGGTTGGTGAGTGTGAGACAGTAGTGAGTGGGAGAGTGGCTAATGAATCTTAGCCTACAGTGAGTGAGACAATGAGTATTGAGTATGAAACTGGAGTTACTGAGAGAATGGGTAATAAGTGTGATATTGTTGTGTGTGTGAGAGAGAGAGAGTGGGCAATGAATGTGAGACTGGAGTTAGTGAGACAGTGTGTTCTGTGTATGACACTGGAGTTACTGAGAGAATGAGTAATGAGTGCGAGACTGGAGTATTTGAGTGAGTTGGTAGTGAATATGAGACGATTGAGTGAGATAATGGGTTGTTAGACTTGAGTGAGAGAGAGTGGACAAGAGTGTGAACCTGGAGTGAGTGAGAGAGTGGGTAATTTTCATGTGACTGATGTGAGTGAGAGATTGGGTATTTAGTTTGGAACTATAGTGAGAGACGGGACAGTGAGTGTGAGATTGGTGTGAGTAAGAGAGAGTGGGTATTGTATGTATTGATTGTATGAATGGAGTTACATGTAGTGAGAAAAGGGGTAGTGAGTGTGAGACTGGAGATAATGGGCGTGAGCTTTGAGTGAGTAAGATTGTGGGTAGTTGGTGAGAAAATAGAGTGAGTGAGTCTTACGCTATAGTGAGTGTGAGACTTGATTTAGTAAAAGAGTGGATGAGTGTGACACTTAACTTAGTGGAAGAATTAGCAAAGAATGTGACTGAAGCGAGTGAGAAGTGAGTGTGACAAGGGTGCGAGTGAGAGTGAGTGACAGTGAGTCTGAGACTGAAGTGAGTGAAAAAGTGGGTAGTGTCTGTTGTACTGGATTTAGCAAGAGAATTAATAGAGTGGGTAAGATTGGAGTGAGCGAGATGATGGGTAGTAAGCATTGGACTGGAGTGAATGAGAAAGTTTGTAGTGGGTGTGAAACTGCAGTGAGTGAGTGAGTATGACACTTTAATAAACCAGAGCGTTGGCAGTGAGTGTGACACTGGATTGAGTGAAAGAGTGGGTAATGAGTCTGTGACTAGAGTGAGTGGGTAGTAAATGAGTGTGAAATTGGAGTGAATGTGAGAGTGGATAATGAGTGTGAGACTACAGTGATTGAGAGAGTGGGTAAAGAGTATGGAAACTGGGTAATGAGTGTGAACCTGCAGTGAGTGAGACAGTGGGCACTGAGTACGACACTGGAGTGAGAGAGAGAGAGTAGGTTACGAATGTGAGACTGGAGTGAGTGAGAGAATGAGTGTGACAATGGGGTGATTGAGTGAGAGAAAAGTTAAAGTGAGACTGGAGTGGTCTGAATAGTGAGTAAGGAATGTGAAACTCGATTGTTCAAGTGAGTGGGTAATGCGTGTAAGTCTAGAATAAGTGAGAGCATGGGTAATGAGTGTGTGATTGGAGTTATAAAGAGAGAGTGGTGAATGAATGAGACTGGAGTGATTGGGAGCGTGTGTAATGAAGTGAGACTGGATTAATTGAAAGTTTGCAATGAGTCTGAGACTGGATTTAATGAGAGTGTGTAATGAGTGTCATCTAAAGTGATTAAGAGGGTGGTTATAACTAGGTGAATGAGAGAGTGAGTGATGAGATTGAGATTGGAGTGAGTGAGAGAGTGGGTAATGAATTTGATACTGGAGTGAGTGAGAGAGTGGTAAATGAGTTTGATATTGTAGTGAGAGAGTGGGTCATGAGTTTGAGATTGGAGTGAGAGAGTGGGTCATGAGTCTAAGATTAGAGTGAGCAAGAGAGTGGGTAATGAGTTTTAGATTGGAATGATTGTACAAATTGGTAATGAGTGTGAGACTAGAGAGATCGAGAACGAAACAAAAATATTTTTAAAGATTTGATTTTATTAGAAATATAAAAAAAATACGAACTGTACAAAGCAATAATTTTGTATATTATAGCGCACAACATGAAGAGTTTAATATAAAACAACATGAAAAATAATTTATAAAGTACAACATTTAAGTATAAATATAAAACAACATAGAGGACTATAATATAATAATCCAAAGGCAAAATATACAGCTGCTTTTTATATTGACTAGAGTTTTGAGTACTTAGCTTCCCCAACTGTCAATCGCAAGTATAACGGCGAAGTCTTTTTTTTAAATAAAGGGATACCCAAATATACCTATTCAATCAAAACATAAAATAGGAAGTGCACAACGACACTGCGTAAATTTGATTTGTGAAAGTCAGTTGCAGATTCAGATACTGAAAGATTATGGGTACGGATGTAGGGAAGAACGGACTTCTCCCAATCGCTATAATAATCCCCTTTTCAAGATAGGGGGTATTTTTTTCAAATAAAAATTTGATATCTGTTTGTTGACAACAACAAAAAATGAATTAAAGTGACAATATATGTTCAATTATAGAGGTTTCAGTGGATGTTTCATTATAAAGAACATAAACTTATTTTAAGATATTCAAATACACTGAATAATAAGTAGGAAACAAATTTAAACTTAGAGAACGAGTTAACAGATTGCGATACGCTGAAACACAATAAAATCGTGTTTTCTATCAAAAATGATAATTTAAAAGTCAACACATTCCATAGTTTCCATGTACATGAAAATTATGAACAACCCGATGTAAAAGAACATTTCTAAAAGGTAATGAAAAATGTAAACCTATGCATACTTAAAAAGAATATCCAAGAACTCGAGGCTACGGAGAAAGGAATTGTACAATAATTAAATGTGAATGAAAATTTCCTTGAATTCGATCAATCCTCCCCCCCCCCTCCCAAAAAAAAAAAATCAACATTTTTTTTTCAAACTCTGTCCATTTCGTTCGTGTGAAGAATCTTGAGCCAAATATATCCCGCCTTTTTCTCGGTTCCATTACCATTCTGTCGGGAATTCAGGTCATACCGCCTAATGGTGTTCCCTCCCCGATAGGTGGCGCTCTCAGACATAGGAATCACACACTCACCCAGAAACTCGTCTTTTATTATGCTGTTGTCCCATACCTTACAATTATATCTCAGAATGTTTGGAAATATTCAGAATAAACTTCATGACGTAGTAAATTAGAAAGTACCTGGGTCTATTTTCTTAAGAAATAACACTTGACTTTGAATACACGTTACCTCTATAAAAATGTCCTCCTCTGGCTTTTTCCTATAAAATGTAACCCTGTCATTCCATTCCGGTTTTAAGGAGCCCTTGCATACTCTTGTCCTGAATACTTTACCTTCACACATGATTTTACAATAAATGTTACCTGCAAAGGAACAAAGAGGGGGAAATTGTACACGAAACTGTTGCTAAGACTAAATAAATTGTTCCTGGGGCTGAGGTCGAGGCCATTTTTAGACTATATTTATCTCCTTTAGAGGAAGAGCTCCATATATAAGAAGATATGCAAAAATGGTCAAATTTTAAAAAACTAAAATGCGTAAAAGTTTTCTTTGTTAAATGATAATTGACAGCTTAAAATATCATAATATAAAAATCAAGTTAACTTTGATGGTTAATTTGTTGAACTCCCCCCCCCCCCCCCCCCCCAGCCTCCTTAGAGCATAGTACTTAAAAACTAAATGATAGCCTACAACCTTTGTTCTCGTTTCCCGGAAACCCTTCCCCCTTCACCATGGTAACCTGCGTTGCGCACGTTTTTCTCTTCTTTAGGTTGGTTTGAATTCCGCACAAAGTCGGAGGAGGTGGTTCATCTAGCCACAGCTCTCTGGTTTACAAAAAAGTGATAAAAACTGAGATTTAATTTTTTTCACTAATAAAGTAATAAATAACGTGACCGACCATTTTTTTTAAAAATTATCTCTGCAAAATTTTTCTATAAATGTACTTAATGTACTTGAAAAAATCTCACATAATACCTGAGGTTGATATTACAATTGCAATACATCCTTAAAACGTATTTGCCAAGACACCCCGGATCAAAGGTGGACGGAATGATGACGTAACGTCCGGGGTGCAGAGTAACACGAGCGAACACGTTCCTGGCGTTAGAGAACGGTCCGGAATGTACCCTTTCTAATCTGTCGTGCATTCTGTACTTCCGGTTTAGATCTGCCTTTTGGGAAAAACAATTACAAATGTTAGTGTTTTCTTTATGCATGTATTATATCATAATAATGTAGCATAGTTGTGATACGAAGGCAAAAACATTTGTGTCCTGTAATATGAATAAAAACTTACTTTCATTATAGTAATGCCAATTGTGTAGTTTGATTTTCCCTGGTCTTTCTCTCTTCGTCTGTCGTATTGTTCCAGTGATACCAAGAGTTCTTCGTCTGCATCATTTATCTCAAACATGTACTAAAACATACGAAAAACGTCAAGATGAAAGTGTATTGTACATGTATTTGGATATTTGTTAATTTGACGGGCATATATTAAGTAATTTTGATTTTAAAAATCTCTATATTATAGTTAATATACATGTCCTAACGTATAAAAAAAATCGGAAAGGAATGTGAAACATTCCCAGAATTCTTTTGCTACCAGAGTTCCATGCGGAATTATTACAATTCATACAAAAAACCAGGCATAATAATTTTATTCTTCTTTACGAAGGGATACGTTCAATTTTCTTTCTTTGTAGATAGCTTAGAAGAATGTGAAGGCACAGAAAGAAGTTCAGAAAGTTATGAAAATCACTAGAAAGATTCTTTATATTTCTTTTCAAATTTCATGATCAAAACATCACAATTGTTGTTATAATGTAAACACAAGAAACTACTTACTTGTGGATTTTCTAGAAACGTCCCGTTGTTTCCACAGCCTCCACATCGGTTCCTCTTCCACTCGCCCTCCGCTTTGCCCTCCTTCCACGTCTTGGAGAGGGAAAACAGTGAGGTATTGATGATGTGGCATATATCAATACTGGTGAAATACTGGCAGAAATCCTCAAATGACATCCTGCAAGACAGATACAATTCTGTTATTTTCTTCACTTGTTCAATATACGCTTAACGTTCTTTTACAGATGTAATTTGGAAATGCTCTGAAATGTCTTTCTTACCAAAATTCGCCATTTTCGTCAAATGTTAACCCAAGTTCTTTTTTCTCACTTTCACTCACTTTCTTCCATTCCGGGGACCTAGAAATAAAATTCTCTACAATATTACAAGATATCGCTTTACTCCAGTTTTATTTTCGGATCACTTTTATTTAAATTGCTACCAGATTATTATTAAAAGAACATTTGTCATTCTGAGGCCCAACTTCTTTTTGCGTAGTTTTCCTTTAAAGTACCAACCCATCGCTCCACGCCCCTTTCCATTCGGTACCGCCCCATGGGTTGCGACATCGAATCATATGGATTTTTTCTCTGCTAAATATGGACTTCAGTCCCGTTCCCAGCTTTATTTTTCTGACGTCAGTTATGCTGTAGGCGTGGCCCTTTACCAGACCACAGGCAAGCGTTTCCTCCATCTCTGCCCTGGTCGCCTGAAACAAGTTCATGCTGTCTATTTCATATGCCCTATCTCTAGAACTCAATATATTACAAAAAATATAGAGAACAAATGATTGTAGACAAAAAATAATTGAGAGGGAATCGGCCTATAGACCAACAGGAATTTTTATTGATAAAATTTTAAATCTCCGCAGATCTGTCCAACCGAATGAAATTTAGTACTAGCTAGTTCAGATGCATACTGCAATGGATGTGCTCATCAAGGACTTGTCTTCTTTCGATTTTCTCAGAATCTTAAACAGCTTTTTCCTCTCCTCTTTAGAATTATAGTCCTTAATTTCTATTCCCTCGGCCACGCCCCCTGTCATGTCAACCATGGCGTCCTTAGCTTTCCCAGCAACAAGTGACTCGTAATCCCCGAATAATCTAAAAATAAAGTTTTGGAAAATTAGAGTCTATTTTTATCATAAACAGATATTCTGTGTCGCATAATGTACGGACACATGCAACTGCAGTCGGCAGATAATGTGTGACATTAATGTTATGAGGATTCTTATCAAGTATTGTTATGTCACTCACTTGGCATAGGCTTTCTCTAGCAGGGCTGACCAGAACTCGTTTCTTGATTTAGAGTGCATGTAGATTAATCTCCCTTGACGTGTGGGGAGATAATCGTCTATGACGACATCGACCCATTCCCCACACTGCCAGAACTTAAAATGGAATATTCCAGCGTACTTCCGGCCTTTTCCCCAATCCTGCTGTTCGATATCAGGCACTATCTGAAATCAGGAAAAATATTTGAATGTATGTAAAAAACTATGAAGTAAAAGTGATTCTTTTGTTTAGGCAACGGTCCATAAATTTCCTCACTGGGTTGTCGTTCGTTCCTCTCCCAACAACGGGTTTGCAACAAGATTTTTGATTTGGAGAAAAAACATTATATTCCAAGGACTATTTCAAAACAATCTTATAGTTCGTTCTAGACCTACTTAGTGAATCTCTAAACGGGTAATTGAATTATGATAAACAACTAAACTTGTCAACCAAAATTTTTTGTGACATAGAGTACCGGTAAATTGAACCATTTGTTACCAAATCTAGCCATTTTGGTTTTTAACATAATAGCCAAATATGTCGTTAAGGTTATACTGTATAAACCTTTCTCAAAAGGTTTTTCCGTTCTGCAATACATGCACAGGCTGCCACAAACCAGCAGTTACCAAGGGAACCTTGGGAAAAGTCGTCTGCACTACTGCCCTCAGTGAAAAACCTGGGATCGGAGACGATTTCCTGAAAATAAAAGATGAGTGACAACAATAAATTAGATACTACAGTTAACTTTCATGTAGCATCAGCTTTCTTTGCTACATTTCTATAGAAGCTTAAAACCATATAAGTCATCAAAATCCAAAATATCACAAAGTCGATCGAATGGAAGCATTCCTAAAATCCAGACAATTGAACATTTCTGTCGTTAGCTTGCGTGTTTCACAGTAAAGAACGCAAGAAACAGTGCGGTTTTTTTAATTCATTATAATTAAATACACCTGTTTATGTTTGCCTATAGGGTTAATAAACTAAAAAGACCTACATGTAAAACTGTTTGCTGAATTTAAAACAGTATTTGAAATGCCATGAATTTTTTTTTACCATATGTCAAATATCTTGATGCGAACTCTTTTCAGAGGTGTATGAGAGAGTAACGAACGACAATTCTGCATGGGAGTTGTCTGCACTTTTAATTGTGACGTCATAGCTATCTGACGTTTAGATGACGTCACAATCATCACCATAAACAAAGGAACTAAGCAGAAAGCAGGTCGGTATGTGAATTGCAAATATGTAATATTTACTAATTTGGTTAATTTTACGGAGTAAAAATATGAATTACAGTTTTAAACACTCAGTGAACACTATTTTTTACAATTTCTTTAGTAGAATTTAGAAACACAATGATGGACTACAGTGAAATACTGGATTTCAGTGACAAGGGGGTAAGCATATTAAGTTTATGTTTGATAACGATATACGTAGACTTTAACTTTAATTGCTGGGAATTTTTGTTCGCTTAATCAATTTCTTTTTCTAAATACCTAAACTTTATCAAGATTTTTATTCTGAATACCTATAAAGAGGTATTGGTGTTTTGTGTTTAAATTATCTTAATTATTTATTGTCTTAATTCAGGAGAACAAATTGGAGATTTTGAAATTCGGATATAGTTGGGTGGAGGAGGTCGAGAGGCAAGAGAGATTGGAGGTACAAATGTAGTTATTTTATGTATTTTTTGTGATAATTCCTTACATGTACCATTGTATATGGGCTTTTCTGTAATATATGAATGATTTGATACATTGTTGTTATAAAATTAAAAATAAATTGTTGTTATGAAATTAAAAATAATTGAATTGATACGCACGTGCACTGTTCGTGTGCATCAAGTCTCCTAGAATCATAGTTTAATTTTGTATTTAATTATTTTTGTAAGGCAATGGAATTAGAAGACATGAAAAGAAAGGAAATTATGGACTACAATGAAATTCTGGATTTCAGTGACAAGGGGGTAAGTATATGTTAATTTATGTTTGATACTAGTCTAATATACGTATTAAATAGACTTTAATTGCTGGAACTTTCTATTCGATTTATTCCTACTATTTTTTCTGAATACATACAAGAGGGTATTGGTGTTTTCTATTTAATTGATCTCATGTGATTAATTATTTTTAGGAAACCAAACTGGAGATATTAAAGTTCAACTATAGTTGGGCGGAGGAGGTCGAGAGACAAGAGAAATTGGAGGTACATATGGCTACTAGTTGATTTAAATATATAGTTGATTTATGAATTAACGCTAATTCATTTTCATTATGCAGTCTTAATGCTGTAAGTTATATTTGTATTTTTGTTCTGAAATATAATTAAATTGATACGTAATAGTACTGTTCATAAAATCTTCCAGAATCCCTGTTTATTTTTGGTGTTTATTATTATTTTGTGTAAGGAAATGGAGAAAGAGGACAGGAAAAGAAAGATGATTGTAAAAGCCATCATGAAGAAGGTTCACCAAGAAATGATTGTAAGTAAAATTGGAATGATAGCATGATAATATATCATGAACTGTGAAAAGGATACAGTGAGATATGAAGGACTACAACCATCAACCAACCCCCCCCCCCCCCCCCGCCCCTTCCAGTTTAATTCATCCAACCATTCCTTGTATCAATTTAACTATATTATAATTTGTTCAAAATCATAATTATTTATATCAAAGTTAAAATACTAGTAAATCAAATGGAGATTGTCCATCGAGAGCTTCAGGTACGCACAGTAATCGTTTATATTAGGCCCCCTAAAAAATTTAAAGAATAGTAAATAAGAAGCACATAATCTAAAATTTAGCCAATATTAATCAATATATACTTTTTATAGGACACTGCAGCCAGAAAAGCAATGGAGAAGTGCAAAGTGCAGACATCCATAATCCAAAAAAGGGAGATAATGCAGGATATCCAAAGAGAACTGATGGTATGTAGTACTCAGTAAATCATGACATTGTACATTTAATCTACAGTGATTTAAAAGCATTTCATCTATTAACATCTAAAATTTGTCCAATATTAAACCAATATTACATTTATTATAGGATAGTGTAGCCAAAAAAGCAATCAAGAAGTGCAAAGTGGAGACATCCATAATCCAAAAAAGGAATTTAATGCAGGAGATCCATAGAGAACTGATGGTATGTAGTACTCAGTAATTCATATACATTTCATCTATAGTGATTTAGAAGCATTTTATTTAAAATTTGACCAATGGTAAACCAATATCACATTTATTATAGGACACTGCAGCCAGAAAAGCAATGGAGAAATGCAAAGTGCAGACATCCATAATCCAGAAAAGGGAGATGATGCAAAAGATCCATAGAGAACTGATGGTATGTAGTACTCAGCAACTAATGTACATTTAATCTATAGTGATTTAGAAGCATTTCATCTATTAACATCTAAAAACTGACCAATATCAAACCAATATAAGATTTATTATAGGACACTGCAGCCAGAAAAGCAATCGAGAAATGCAAAGTGCAGACATCCATAATCCAAAAAATGGAGATAATGCAGGAAATCCATAGAGAACTGATGGTATGTAGTACTCACTAATTAATGTACATTTAATAAGCAAAAGATAATTTAAAAGCATTTTATCTAAAATTGAAAAACATTAAACCATTATTACATTTATTATAGGACATTACAGCCAGAAAAGCAGTTGAGAAGTGCAAAGTGCAGGCATCCATAATCCAAAAAAGGGAGATAATGCAGGAGATCCATACTAGAGAACTGATGGTATGTAGTACTCAGTAATTTATGTACATTTAATCAATAGGGATTTAGAAGCATCTTATCTAAATAACTTTAATATTTAAGCAATATTTATTATCAATATAAGGTAGTACTCACTAAATAATGTTTATTTAATGAACGGTGAATTTTGATCAAGTTGTCTTAATTAATTAGTCTCTCTAAACATATCCTAGGTCACTGTAGCCAGAAAATTAAGGGAGATGGAGAAATTACAGACAGAGTTGATGAGTAAAAGGGAACTCATGAAGAGTGCTCATGAAGAACTTAAGGTATGAAGTACAGTGTACTCGCTAATATACTATTAAAATTATCATGATGACTTCATGAGTTTCTTTTGATACTGGCATTAGCGAAAATATATATTTCATTTTATTTTTTTCCAGAGACTGGAGGAACTGAAAGAAGGTCGCTTTATTAAGGTATCGTTGAGATTAATTTATAATTTGAAGTAATTAAACTGTTTGTTGTAGAATAAATCAAAATACAAATGTATTGCATAGAAAATATTTCAATAAAGTTGTTAAAAATACTTATTACTAAATAATTTCCAATATAAGTCTGAAAGATTCTTTTACTTTTTTTTCCAGGAATTCGTCAGAAACATCATTATTGCTGCAAATGAAAAAGTACAAAAGGATATTGTCAGGGTAAGTAATCTAAACACAGATTTTAGTTTTTACTTATTAATTGTCACTCATGTCCTTTTTTATGGGTAATTTCATGTGAAATTTCATTAATAATTATGGACTTTAGGTAAATGTGAAATTCTTCTTATTGAGATATTGTGTCCCAAAGAAATAGAAATTTCCAGCGACCCTTAAAAAATATTGTTATGAAAAAAAATGATTCACTGTCGTTTATCAGTTTTCATTTTTTTTAGGAGTTTATCGGTAATGTGATTTACATGGCTAAAGAACAGCTGCAAAACCAACTTGAGCAAAGTTCAAAGGTAAGTTTAGTTTTTATTCCTTTAAAATATTCATGATTTTTAATTTTTTACTTCTATATCTGTCTGCTATATGGAAATCTTTTTTTTATTTTTTTTTAAAGGAGACAAGATCTGCAAAGTTACACCTTGGGCAATTCCAGCAAAAAGTACAAGAGAAATCAGAAGTATGTTGCTTCAATGGTTTTAAAATGAACTCTTGAATTGGCTTTCTGATGTTGTTGGCCAATCTTCTAAAATTTACTTTCAATTATTTTTTTTTAAATTGAAGAATCCCAGCAAAGAAGGAGAACTTGAAGCTAATGAGGAGACTGAGGATGATACATTTATTCCAAGGAAACTCTTTCTTTTTAATATAGAATCTTTCAAGGAGAACCCAAAGGTAAACAACATTGTATTTAATTTTTCACATCCCCTTAGAGATAAGCTTATGCCACTAAAATTATTTGAATTTTAATTTTTTTCTCTACAGGATATTACCAATAACATTGCTAAATTTGAGTGTTCTCTTTCTTTCAGAGAATTGAGTCAAATCTAACTAACTATACTCCTAACCCATCTACAAGCTTGCAAAACTATTCAGAAGAGGATGACCATGCTCATGGAACATGTTCAGAAAAGGTATCTACTAGTATTCGCTTGACACAAATAAAAGCATTATAATCTGTTTCAAACATTTCAAACAAACTGTTTCTCTTGATTTGACTGGCTTTTCTCAGACAGTTTCAATTATTTTTCGCTTAATTACATATTTTTTTCTTTGTCTTTTTCAGAAATCATCTCCAACCAAGACAAGAAAGAGCATCAGAACCCGTGTTTTAAAGTTTTTTGGACTAAGATAAATCCAAGTTTAGAAGAAAAGTAAATCTGAGAGACTGCTAATGATATTAAATTGTGTTTGGAGCCCGACCTTTAATTTTTGTTAAATATATTGATATTTTAATTGAAATAGATGATATTGAAAGTCATTTGATTGCTTTTTTTCATTTTAAAGAAACCAAAGATTATTTCTGTGTAATATTCTGCTATATTAGCATCTTAAGGACTTACAATACTACCCCCCAATTACATGTACAATACACCCCTCCAAAAAATGTTTCGTTTTCGTCATTCCTGTACATTTGGGCAAAATCATTCGGACAGGACGTTCCAAAAGTTACCCTCTTTTTGTTGTTGTTTACAAGGAGAAAAAAAACACGGGTACTTGTGGACAGGACCTCCCCCCCTTTTATATTAACCCCGGAGTTTATTGGACATTTTTCTCACAAATTGTGTTTATTACACTTATTCATCATGTGTACAATATGAAAAAATCGTCAAAACCCAAAAAAAATCGCTCCACAAAAATACCCCACCATATCATGAAGAATAAGTGTAATAAACATAATTTGTGAAAAAAATGTCCAATAAGCCCCAGGGCTGAATATGCAGGGGGGGGGGGTGTTCCTGTCCACAAGTACCTGTGAGAAAAAAAATCTCAAACAACTCAATATAAAGTCTTTGATTTCTGGCCCCTGGATCGTGAAACATTTTAAAGTTAAGTCAAAATCTTTCAGTTGGACTAAAATGTTGAAGTCTAGCAGACCAAACTTGGAATATTTTTTTCAATATTGTTTACGAAAGGTGTTGTTAGCGATCTGCAAATCTAGATATTAATAAACATTTTATAGATGATTGAACTTGACTCAAGTATAAGTAAGTTTCATGATCCTGGGCCCTTGTAGGAATTACCAGGGTCCCGCGTTTTGTTTTTTTTTAATTATTATTTATGCCCTACTCACAATTTTGTGTTGATTGAAAATTATTTTTTATTCAGGTCGATCACTAATCCTTATCAACCCCTTTTCTTTTATGAGTTTACTCATCGATCCTTAATTCTTGCTTGATACTCACTCCCGGTCGTTTCCAGACAATGTCTGCCGGGGCTGCCCTGCTGTAAAATAGGGAGGCACCCTCGGGGGGAAACTCGCTGTCCCTGAACAGTGCCCTCTTCTTGATGCATTCCTTCTTTATCTTTTGGTATTTCTGATTTTTGAATGGTTTGGCTGACACCATTCTTTTGATCTGATAATGAGAGAAGATGTATATGTTAAAATACGTTGTTAGACATTGATAGAGCACAAATTGTCAATCTTGAAAATCGTTTTCTAATTTTTCTGTCTATCGTACCGATTTGAAATGTAATAACCGCCATGAAACTGTCAACAAATTGCTACATTCTTTTGCATGTGACAGGTGCGTATCTAATATCAGTTTTTGAAATGGGGAGGGCAGCCTACAAAAAAATCAGCTCACTTACAATAGAAAACCTTTTACAAACCTATAGAGGGGAAAAGATTCAAAATTGTCCATGGGGAGCTAGGCAAACGAGGAGAAAGAGTAAGCGGGCTGGGAAAGAAAATGAGCGGGTGGGGAGAAACTGTTCGAGATAATGGGTGGAGAAATTAAGGAGAGAGAGAGACAGAAAATGAGAGGGAGATGATTAGTGGGAGAGAAGAAGACATAGAGAGAGAGAAAGGGTGGAGAAAAGGAAGTGATTGGGAGAGGTGAGACATGGGAGAATGTGAAAAGTAGAGAGACAGGGTGGTGGGTGAGGAAGGAGGTGGAAAGAGAGTTTACTTAGTGAGAAGAGAAAAAGAGACAGTTATAGTGAGTGGATTAAAAGAAGAGAGTTCGGGGAAACAAGGATAAAGAGATTGGGAAGAGAAGAAGAGACTTGGGAGAGATAGTAAGGGAGAACTAGTTGAGCAGGGAGGCAGAGAGAGGAAGAGTATGGGAGAAAGTAAGGGAAAGAGAGAGCGGCCGAGAGAGCAAGTGAGATGTGAGGGAGGAAGAGGGAGCGTTGTGGTTTAGGGAAAGAGAGAAAGTAGAGTGGGAAGAAAGTATAAAGATGCGAAAGTGGTGAGCGAGGAGAGAGAATGAGGAAGGGACAGAGAAAGAGTGTGTTTGGCGAGTGAAGAGAGAAAAAATGTGGGGAGTAAGGAAAGAGCTGATTGTGAAGAGAGAGAGAGAGAAATAATTACAGAATGGAGTGATGAGAGAGTATACTTGAAAAAATAAAAGCACAACAAGCAGAAAATAAATACACTGTATCCCACTATTTCGTTTCGGGCGGGGAGGGGGGTCTTCTTTCAGTACCAATCAAGTTTTTATTCATGCACTAAAGTGCTTCAGTACTACATTATACCTTTATTTGACTATGCTGCAATAAATAAGTGCGGTAACAATGCAGCCTTTTAATGAATATTAGTACAGTGAAAAGTTATGTTTGACAACCCCCCCCCCCACACACACACACACAATACTAAGAGTACGTGGCTGTCTATGATCTCAATATGAAATGTCGACACACACGTGCATTCTCGAAACCCATTTATGCATTTCTGCAACACCATTATCTTTATGACTGACTATTGCCTACACCCAAAACGACGTAAGAAATTAAAAAAAAATAGCAAACTGGTTGACTTACTAATTATCTTGATTTTAAAAGTTCTCGTGCATTTTCAAAATACATGCAGTAAATGTCATTCAAAAACTATTGCCTTTTTTATTTACACCCAAAACAGATTCGTAAGAAATTATCTTCATATTTAAAAAAAATAGCAAACTGAGTATTTTTCTAATTTTCACTTTATAGACAGATATAGCTCTAATATATGGAACTGAAACAAAATAAAATTTACTTGATTTTGAAAAAGTAATATCTCGTAAAAGCATTTTCAAAGCAGGAAATATATTTCTGTTTAGCAAGTAGCTATAAAATTTTTCTTTACATTATGAAATTCTTTATAATGCTTAAAAAATCCTTTTAAAACTGAGAAAAATAATCTGTGTGTTTGTATTAAATTTTCTGCATTCCTCAGAAACAGGTTAAAAATAAAAATATTTCAAAACAGTTTTCTTATTCATTTGCAGAAATAATAGAGTTGCATAGTAATTTAAAGAATTTGAAAACAATAACATTCTTATTCAAACTATATTTGTACATTTGTTAGCAAACTAGGTGTTAAGTGTTGTGGATACGTGTTTTGAACGGAGAAGACGCTACAAACCGTGTTTGAAATAAAACAAAATGAGTATACTTTTGACAAACTTGCTCAGCGTTGTTGTTGACGTTACAATATTGGTTAACCGTGCTCCGTGGTAACAGTTGCTTTAAATTTTGGCTAATATGAGTTCTATTTAATCAAATGGAATGAAACTTCACAACAATATATACAGAGCTGAGAAGAGGATGACCCTCGTAAGTTTTACTGAAATTCTTATATAACCAGCTTTGTTTCTGCATTCCTCAGACAGTTTATTTAACAGTTTTCTTATTCATTTAGAAATATACAATATATACAGAGCTGAGAAGAGGAAAGTTTAAGGAAACCTACACCAGCGGCCGAGAAATATACAGCGTCGACGGATGGGAATCTGATTGTAAACATCGGCGAAAGAAAATGATGGACATCGCGAATACTTTCTGTGTTGTGCCACTTATAATGTTTTGCTGATCTTGACAGTAATTTTTTCGGCTTCTAGATAAAGTTAGATTTATTTCTAAGCCATGAATGAAACTCACGGATGTAGAACGCGTTCAAGATTTATATTTATATACACTATCTCTCATCCTTAATGTGAGGGATTGCAGATCAGCTGAAGTTATTGCATGTGCACAAATGTTTACATACAATATAAAACACCCGCTATCTAAATACATTGTAGTGGTTGCATGTTCATTGTTTTTATGTACGTTTTGTCGAGGTAACCACTTGCGCGCAATGTACACAATGCCCTAAATTTATAAATTTTGTAAATCTTTGTATTTTCTGCACAATACTAAGTATCCGGATGATGATGGATAGACAGCGGTCCTAAGCTTTTTTAAACAATAAAAATTAATAACAACAGCAGCAGCAGCATAATATTACGCAAAATTTTCGTCTCAGATTCATAAATATATATTCCATATGGAATAAAAGGTATAAAAAGGAATATTTTACCACAAAGTTTTAACTTTTGCGATACGATTTGATCCGAGATAATCAAGTACATACCTTTGGAATGATTTAGTTTCCCCTGTAGATGAGTGGTGCTTTTCATGCACCACTTTGTTCGGTGTCTGTCTATATATCTACAGCTGTATAGTGAGTCACACTTCAGAGTTTAGATATTGTCAGGTCTTCATCACAAGACGAAATCAAACAGCGAATACCGACATCTTGTGGGTGTTAAAAAAAAGTGAATGATACATATATGTGGGAGGTTTCTCTACATCAAATTAATTTTGGTTTATTTTAAGTTTTTTTTCCAGATATTTTTTTTTTATTTATAGTTTTTCCACTGGTTATTGTGAGAGAGAGAGAGAGAGAGAGAGAGAGAGAGAGAGAGAGAGAGAGAGAGAGAGAGGGAGGGAAGGGGGGAGGGGGAGAGCGAGAGAGTGTATCAATTAAATAAATATACTTCCATGCCTCATCAAATTCATTGTTTTTCTTTGCTATTATTTTATTAGTGTCATATAATATTTTTTTCCAGATATGATTTTCTATTTCCACTTTATTGTGTGTATCTGAATAAATATTTCGTATTCAATATAAAGAATTCGATCGTGCAATGATCTAAATTATGATACACATGTTCATGTGCAAGCACATACACACAATGTAAAGGTTCCCATTTATTTTAGTCAAGGAAGACATTTATAAACAAGTACCTACTCTAAGACACCGGTAAGTGTTTGTCCATTCCTTTGATTTTAAAGAGTTATTAAGAAACTTTATTTTATTCTTCATTCATAGACATCCCAACCCACACCCACCCACCCACAACTATAATTTCTTAAATCTGTTGCCATGAAGTGCCCTTGGCTTGTAAAATTTCCATGGCATCTACATGCACGTGTTTAAAAGGGAGATTAATATTTATAAGAATTTCAATATTTTGTACAACAAAAAATAAAATATCAATATAATTCAACGGAAAAACAATTTTGCTGCAGCTTAGATGTATTTGTTGTACACTGGGAAAACAGATTATTCTTGGTCGTAAGATTTTTTTCTGAAAAGGGCCACAGGTATAATTATTTAAAACTTTACTGTCATTATTCTTAATTTTTTTTTCAAAAAAATTCCAAGATATTCCTAAATAAGAGATGCATGTACATGTAAAAATCATAATGAAAATATCCGTTGTTAATAATTTAGAAAAGTTTACGTATTAAATAACAAAAAGTACAGAGTACTCTTTTGTGAAGAGAGACTCTCCATTGATCGATTTGCAGTGCGCGCGAGTTGTAGGGGTTATTTTTCTTTACGGGCACTCTTTTGGGCATTCAGGTACAAAAGAACGTAACAACAGTCAACAAAGGTAAATTTCACTGTAAAAAAAAACTGAAATAAAGTCTAGGAAAACGAGTATTGAAATAATTCATTTAATCTATTTTTTTCTGTTGGATATTCAAATTTGAAATGTCAATACTTTAGAAACGAAAAATGTGAAATAATGTTGAGATATTTGAGTGATTAGGTGACTTGCAATATAATTTCGAATTTCCTCGAAATCTTGTACAACAAAGATAAAAATATTTGATTCCTCTCATTGCTTGTGCCTTTAAAAAAAAAAACAAAGAAATTCTCTGTTAACATTAAGCATAAAATATTATATATTCTCTTAGAAGATGCCAAAAAAGAGTGGAAAGAAAGGAAAGGGAAAAGGAAAGAAGAAAGCGAAGAAGACCATAGCAGGGGCAGAAGACATTGTCCATAGTTTCCTAAAATGTTACGAGAGAAACTGTGGGTTGACGGAGTCACAGATCAGTCCCCGAATTAAAAGTGCCTTAAAAGCATGCAAGGAAAATGAAACAGTGCTTTCCACGGTATGATTTAAAACTTGTAAATTTAACAGAGCTTGTGATTCCTCTGAAAAAAGATCCCAAATAAAAAATACAGCGATTCAAATAAAACTGAAGCACTTCTGTTTTTTTTAAATAATATCAATATATAAAAAATATAGTTAATTTCTTTGAAATATACAATCTTTACACAATTATACATATCATTTGATTATTTTATAAAGTTTGTAATTAACACTAACAATCATATACTTTTAAAACTAATTTTAGCTTTATCGAATTAATATTATATCCCTAAAAGTCCCTTTTATAAATTTAGTTTATTTTGGAGCCTGTGCCTGTTGAGAAGGAAGGGGACCTTCCAGTTTTACTAGAGCCATTGATTGCCGCCTTCAGACAAGAAAGATATGTCCACATACAAGACATGTATCTGTGGAATTACCCTATGACATATGAAAATATGGCAACAGTGGTGAGATACCCAATTAAACATCGCAATCTGTATATCATGAGATCTTATAAAAAGTATAAAGAAATACAATTTTTACGAAAGAATCGAGAAATATGTTTATTGATTTCTTTTTCTCTCAAAATTTAATAGCTGTAGTCTGTAAATGAGAAAAAGTAAGAATACTGAGTACATGTGGTGCACATGTACTTGTACCTGTAATAAAAACCACATTGTTCATAATACAGATACTTTATATAAAGTGTTAAATTGTCCTTTGCAGGCCTTGCTGTTAGAGAAGGGTTGTTATCCTTTGAGATATATAGAGTTTCTTGACTGTTTGCTGGAGGGGTACTCACTTCAGCGACTCTCAAGGTCATTTAACATCTGCTCCACTCTGACCTCTGTCACCCTGGACTATAATGAGTAAGTTCTGAGTGACCATTTGACATATCAACCTGGAATTTAATGTGTAAGTTCTGAGTGACCATTACGCACAATAAAAAAATTTGTTTGTTTACTGAGTTACCCGACCAACCCAATATTTTTAATTGCTGACCAAAATTTTTTTGTCAGAAAAATCTGAAAGTCACTTGCCTGGCAGTCAGTTCAACTTTTACATGCATATTTATTGGTCAAGCATTTTAATTCAAACATATTTTTTTGTTTGGCCTTACCGTATTTTAAGTGATTAGGAAGTCCCATGGACTTATATTAAATAATCCCCAATATCTCAAATCTTTAGATTTTTTTGGTGTCAATGAGTTCAAAATAGCATAGTTTACTGTATCTTGTTATCTCTTTACTGTAGGGCTTGGTATTGGCCTGAGATTTCGTATTGCGATAATTATTGTGATATTTTTTACTGCATTGCGATATGTATTGCAATATTTTCAATGTCATAAAAATGGTATTTTCTTACTATATTTACTTTAATTTACATGCAGAATGTACATAACATGATTAGTAACCAACACAGAAAAAAAATCTTGTTGATTTCATTTCCGTTATGCTCTGAAATATTCCCACAAAACAACTTCTGACTTACTGTTTGGCTTAATAACAAACTTTCATAAGTCCATTTTTATATTTAATGACAAAATTCCTTAATCTAAGCATATTGCCAATATATTAATCCCGTATTGCAATATTAAAGATATTTTTTGTCATTGTATTGCAATATACTGAAATATCGATATTATTGCCCAGCCCTACTTTACTGCAAAATTGTAAATAAATAATCTAATTTTAGTTGTAACACGTCATTTGATTGGTTAAACAGTTTTATTCATTTTGTATAACATAACTTGATTACGTCACAATGAGTGACGTCAAAAACGTATTACTCCACTTGACGTTAACTTTTAAAATATGCGATATTTGAAACCTTTTTCCGAAGGAAAATATGGAAAAAAATGTCTCATTGTCTACACTGAAATTAAATTATAAGGAATGAAGCTTATTTCAACTTATTTTATACGATATAAGATAACGGGGCAGTTTATGCTTTTTTATAAACCGCTTTGCAGTTTATAAAGCACGAACTGCCCCAAGTTATGTTATATCGTATAACATAAGTTGAAATAAGCTTCATTCCTTAAATAATATTGTATGCAACTTTTTTCATTCACAAAAAGACCATTTGATTTAAAAATTGGTCTCTGCCATAAAATACTGAAAGTGTACATCAACTGATATATTTGAAATTAAGCAGTCTTTGGGTATGGAGTTGTTTGCGTATACATGTACAGTAAAAATAGGGTTGTAACAAAGTCACTAGGACTAATGAAATTACTTTGATATATCCGTAATTTGTTATATCCATATAAGAAATTTGTTAAATTTATATAGCTGGGGATTCAAGATAACTTCATTATATCTGTAAATTCCCAATATACGTGATCGTACTAACTGAGTTTTACTGTACATGTAATCATAGGAAATTTTAGTTGTATTCATAAATAAGCAAATCATTGTCCACGCCAAAGCCTAAAAAGCCTGCTATCATAAGCACACATACAGCATTTATTAAAATCATGCATGAATTAACGTAAATATCCACAACCTGGATCGTTGCCATCAAATCTTGCATAAATTTTTAGAGCTTGAAAATAATGGTTTCAGAAGACCAATTTGTAATAAATTTTTTATGAAATGAATGCCACATATGTATCTTATTTTTCAGATTTGGAAATGAAGGTGCACAGTACTTTTGTAAAGGAATGGAGGGAAATGTCACCCTTCTGTCCATCAGTATGTGTTATTGTGACCTGGGTGTGGAAAGTGGAGACATACTCGGAAAGATGCTGGTGAAAACAGCAGTAAGGTAATAGTAAAGGCATAAAAGTCTTCAATTAAACAACTTTTCTAAGAAAGGAAAAGCAGTCGTATTTCCTTTTGTCATAAATCCCCCCCCCCTTTCAAAAAATTAAATAATGTATGTACTCTTAAATATTATCTTAGATGTTATGTTCTTGTATATTTGTAATTTACAGAGAGTTGTACTTGGACGGGAACAACTTAGAGTGTAAAGGAGTGATCAGTTTGATTAATCTCTGTGCTGAACAAGCCTTCTATGAGTCCGCAATGAGGGCAGAGGAAGCAGCCAGAAAACTCCAAGAGGAGGCTGAGAAGGCTGAACGAGGTATGTAACGGGAACTGTGATTGGCTAGCTCACACAAACATCACCTTTGACACAAGGGTGCCAAAATTACATATATGGATTAATATCCTTATTAGAGATATAACAATGATTTATTAAGCAAATGAATATATAGGTACACATAATTTTTATGTCCAAAATGTTTTGATTTGTACTGCAATGGATTAGATTTTTGTAAATTAAAAATTTTGATAACTAATATGTTAAGATTTACCTTTGATCTTTATTTTTAATTGTCTGTTAATTAATAAAAACAGAGAGTAAGCTTACTCCCCAGCAAAGACTTGGTATGTATTTGATGTTACTTTAAAAGAGCATAAAGTATGCCTCAAAACTAAAACTTTCAAACGTAGATGATATCGATGTCTCTCTCTCTCTCTCTCTCTCTCTCAACTGTTTCATTCAAAAATTAATTAGTGTAGGAATTAAACTGTTCATCATTTTTTTTTTATCTTTGGGTAATTTTTTACTTTTTCATAATAAAATCTCTTTCTTATTTTCTTTAGATATATAGAATAAATGTAATTCTCTCTCTCTGTCTTTCATCTGTTTATGGAAAAGATTTCAAACTGCTATAGATTTCTCTGTATCTTTGTAGTTAAGTCTTAGATTTCTTCTCTCCCCCAAGGTGGAAGGTGGCCTGTTTCTGAAATGATTTGCATGCTTTAGTTTAAAAAACCTGTAGTCTTTGACCAAATCTGAAATGATTATTCATATAAAAGAATTTGAATATACAGTGATAAGGATGCATGATCTTCATGATTTTTTTAAATGTCAAAATATCTAAATACTATTTCTGTTTGCCAGACTGAAAGAAAGAAGTCATGAGAGAGTATATTGAGTATAGTTATGTCAACCAAACAGTTAAAGACCCAAACATGTTGTTCCTCAGAAGCCCACAGCCAATCTTGGATATGCTATTTGATAAGCGTATGCGAGATTGGCCGTGGGTTTTCGACAGTGGTCTTTAAGCTAGTACATGTACATTTGTACATGTAATTCTTTCACATTATTCAATAAATGTGATTAGTCCTAAAAAAAATTCGTTCCCTATTTTCTCTTCTTGGACAAATAATTTTCTTTACAAGTTATAACAGTACTTTTTATAATTTATGCTTTGTTTTAAAAAAAACCTTTCATGGAACCAAACCTTTCCCACATTGCAAAATTAAAAATTCAGCTAAAATAAAACCAGTAAATCAAACACAAAATTTATTAAGAAGTTGTTGGGGGGTTTTTTAATGTAATTTACATGATACATGTGATACATGCATGTATATATTAGAAAATAAAAATGTAGGAAAATTTAATTGATGTTTCTATTCTATCTGTTAACCCAAATAACTTTATTTAAATAGAAAGAGAGCAAGGCTATAGGTCATCTGGATTATCTGGAGATGAGGATGGTAAAGATGGAAAGAAGAAAAAGAAAAAGAAAGGTATAATAAATGTGTGCATGCTACAATGTATTACTGTAAACCTTACATTCATTCATGTTCGAGAAATTTTGATGAGATTCATGAGAGCCTAGTCAATGCAAACAGTCCTCGCTGTGAACCAGTCCTAAGTTAAAGTCTACATGTCTATAAGTAACAGATCCAAAATAGGCTTGATCGCAAGTATTAATCGTCACAAACTAGTTTACCCCGGGTAAATCGGGAAATAAAGTCCTTGCAAATAAAAGTTGGTTTACAGTAATTCAAAATAGATTATTCTTTGATATATATATGCATTTCTTAATTAAGTAATACAGTAAATCTTGGTTATGAAGAAGTCACTGTGACCTAAGATATTTCTTCACTTTATCCGTAGTTCAGTATATCCATACAAGAAATTTAGATAGGGATCAAAGATCCATGAATTTACAATATCCATGTTTGTACTAAACCAGTTTTACTACATACATTGTAATTATTTGTCTTCAAGGAGTAAGAGGAATAAAAGTACTGAAAAGATTATTATACCCCACGCAACTAGTTGCGTGAGGTATAATGTTTTTGACCCGTCCGTCAGAGTGTCAGAGTGTCAGTCAGTCCTTTTTTTTTGTCAGCACAACTCCTCAAACTGCTGCACAGAATTTCGTCAAACTTTGCAGGTATTTAGGACACAATGTGTAGATGTGCATATTACCAGGAAATTCCGATTCCATTATTTTTTTGGGAATTTCCGCACTTTTTATCTTAGGCATTTGGCCATACCTTGAATATAGAGATGAACAGTTTGTCAGCGCAACTCCTCATAAACCGCTGCACAGAATTTCGTCAGACTTTGCAGGTATTTAGGACACAATGTGTAGATGTGCATATTACCAGGAAATTCCGATTCCATTATTTTTTCCGGGAATTTCCGCACTTTTTAACTTAGGCATTTGGCCATACCTTGAATATAGAGATGAACAGTTTGTCAGCGCAACTCCTCATAAACCGCTGCACAGAATTTCGTCAAACTTAATGTATAGATGTGCATATTACCTGGAAATTCCGATTCCTTTATTTTTCTGGGAATTTCGGCACTTTACAACTTAGATTTTTGGGGATATCTTGAATATAGTGGTGAACAGTTTGTCAGCGCAACTCCTCATAAACCGCTGCACAGAATTTCATCAAACTTTGCAGATATTTAGGGTACAATTTGTAGATGTGCATATTACTGGGAAATTCCAATTCTTTCATTGAAAGTCGGGAGCGTGGGGTATGTGAGCTTGCTCACTTTTTCTTTCATTTCTGAAAGTGTGTGTACCACACTGACCATATGCAATGACAACAAGTAAATTTGACTGCAAAACAAGAAATTTTAAAATACACTGACCATATGTATGGCACGCCAAATTAACAAAAATGAGATAAACCTAGTTTCACATTTGATAAACTAGGTTTATCGACTGTAAACTATTGTTTACAAACCGTAAACTATAGTTAATGATTCGTTAAGTATAGTTTTCATCTGTAAAACTATATTTAACGGTTGTTAACTATAGTTTATGAATGATAATCTAAGTTTATCTGTCTGTAATAAGCGTTAACAATAGATTTTGTTGATAAACATAGATTCACGTTTGTAAACTTTAGTTTACAATCGTAAACTATAGTTAAGAGTTGTTAATCATAGTTTCACAAATTGTGAAACTATATTTATCAGATCGTTAACTATAGTTAACGGTTTGTAAACTATAGTTTACAAATCATGAAACAATATTTATCAGATAATCTATGTTTTGCAATCGCAAATGATTGTTTTCGGTGTTAAGTATAGTTTATGGTTGGGAAACATAGATTATCGCGTTGTAAACTATGGTTTACAGATGTGAAATATAGATTAACATTGTTAACTATAGTTAACTATAGTTTACGGTTTGTAAACTATAGTTTACAACCGATAAACCTAGTTTATCGATTGTGAAACTATGATTATCTCATTTTTGTGAATTTGGCGTGCCATACATATGCAATGACAAGTAAATTTGACTGCAAAACAAGAAATTTTTAAATGCTGTCTTTGCAGATTCATAGCAGTTTTGGCATATTTTCAGTGGGTAGACTTATAAAACAGATCATTAAATTTGAATGTTAAAGCTTTAAGTTAAAAAAAAGGAGGGGGTAAACATTTTCCTTCCATGTGCACATGTTGCATGTACATGTATATATAATTTTTATTTGCGAAATGATTCGGTACTTAAAACTAAGTGTTAATTGTATTGAACAACAGGTAAGAAAAAGAAGAAAAAGGAACCACCCCCACCACCAGCTGTGGGCCCCTGGATCCACAAACTCCACGTGGCAGACAATGGTATTGATGGTCTGGCATACAAAAGAGAGTTAGCTCCCTTACAGATGATGAGAGTTCTGAAAAAGTATGTGTGACTTTATTTTTACAATTATTTTTTTTAAATGTCATTTTATTCATGAAATCATAATGAAGTAAAAGGTCTGACATAATTAATATTTTTTTAATATCATGACTATGAATATGAAATGAAAATAATGAAATATAAATTGACAATGTATTAAGATCATGTTGATTGTTTTTAAGGTTGATCATGTACTCTAACTGCTTTGAGGAGTTAGATCTGGAGAAGAACTTGATTGGTGATATTGCGGCAAAAGAGATCTTGGAATCATTAGAACATAGGAAAGAAACAGGTACTGTAAATTCCTAATTATACGCGAGGAACTTATTTCCGCGTATTTTCGTGAGAAGCGTCACTCGCGAAAAAAAATACTCGCTTTTATTTTTTTGGTGCTGAAATCTATGTAAATTCTGTTGATCAACCATCCATTTGCGAATTATAATTCTCGCGATTTGACGTGAAAGACCCAGGTCGCGATAAAAAGTACTCGCTAAAAAAAAGGAATATACAGTACTTCTTTGCATTTCTATAGTTTTTTTTTTTTTTAAGTCAATGTTGTTGCAAAATACTTATCCAAGTATTTTTTTAAAGTTAAACTCAATTCCACCTTGCATACACTTTCTGCCAATTGTATTAAGATAGTAAATTTCACTTTGTGAAAAGAGATTCCTTAAGAGACTTTGGTGAAAATTGTATAATAGACATGTTCTTGAGTATTCTTTTCTTTATATGTTATCAGTGTTTTCCCTAAGAACCGGCAACCGGCCAAATTGACCGCTTCAAATGACAAAAATGCCGCTTTGAAATAACAATTTGTTGTAAGGTCCACAGAGACATTGTTCATAAACCTCAGACCTTTACAACTGATCTCTAACCCTTTACTTTGAAATAAAAGGAAAACACTGATGTTATGCAAAATTCAGAAATTAGTATGAATCTAATTAATCTCATTATATTTTTACATACGAATTTCATAAAAAATACACATTACACTATCGATGCTTCTTCAAGGCATTAAATGTTTTAATTTTCTTATAATTGCTGGAATTATAATTATGTTTTCAATCTTCAGAAAAACTTGGAGGGTGTAAAGTTCGGGTTGGCAGTAGAATAAAGAAGGATACATTTGATGGCATCCTTAATCTTGGCTCTGGTCTCAAGAAAAAGAAGAAAGGGGGCAAAAAGGCAAGGAAATAGGTTTTGATAGATATGTTTCGAACACAAGAAAATTGTGATTCTAATTATAACCCAATGCTCTTTTGATAAAATTTATATAATTACCCCTCAGCCTTATGTTACATGTAATTTTAATGCTTTATGTTTTTATGACCAATGCATACATGTAGGATATTCTTAAAATACCTGAAGATGCACTTTTTGAATTAATTTCTATTTTATTCATGCAGTCAGCCTATCTTGTCAATCTGATTAAAATCAGATCCTCGATCGACTCCTTTATTCTTTTAGTCAATACATGAGGCTCTTGTAGCAACAATAAAAAAATAGAGGACTTGATCGAGGATTGAATTTTAATCAGATTGCAATCATGCCTATATTGCTTATCCTTAATACATATATGTAGGAAATCAGTGGTACTTTATAACTTATTTCATTGAATCAAACAGTTTTGAATTGCAAAACATAAGTCGAATTTATTGAATGAAGGTCAGTATTTAATTAAAATTATTTGGGTATAAGTGACAACAAAAAATATTAAAAAATAATCACTTGTTTGAGTATAATGTAATTTTGCTTTTCCAGAAAAAGAAATAATGGACCGACACTACCTGACATGAAAGTATCAGACTTCCATTTCAAAACAGTCATCCATGGGTGGTGAAAGATGTCAAAACAGACTGAGACATTATTGCAATAAGCAAGCAGATATCACCAGAGACATTTGACAAATCTCAATTCATCACTATCCATTGTAGAAGAAAACTGAAATGTGGGACCCCATCAATGGATGCTTGACTTAGCTTGGGACATTACAAGGTGTTTCAAATAGAAGGTTGTTGATAAAATTTGAAATAAGCAAAAAAAATTACGTCTAGTCAGATGATGTTTGTTATGTACATGTCTAAGTGTTTTTCTTTGCATTTAAAAGCACCTGAATTTTCTTATCAAAATTTTTAACTTTTTTTTTTCTTTATTTTTGGTGAAATCATAATAATCTTGGTAAAATATTTGCAGGATTTTGTTCTTCACAAACCACACAATTGATTCTATTAATTGATATGAAAGGATTGCTTGATGTTAATAAGATTCTAAGTTTCAATTTTAAACAACTTACTTTTGTTGTTAATTCGGATAAATCTTATTTCATTGTTATGATCATTATTTCAACCGCTCATTTGTAATTGTATTGTTGATACATGTAATTACAGTAAAACTTGTCTTAACACCTATGGTTCTAAATTAATTTGCCAGATAAGTCAGCATTCTGGTTTAGACAACATTTAAACAAATGACTTTAGTACTGAAAGGTAGTTAAGATCGTATTAGGCAAGATTTTGGATTATACAAGATCTGGATAAGACAAATTTCACTGTAATACCCTTTTATGACTATTACTGTAATGTTTTTATGGTTTGACTTTGAATGTTTAAAAGAGTCATAACTATGGCATGCCAAATTCACAAAAATGAGCTTAACATAGTTTTACAGTTGATAAACTAGGTTTATTGGTTGTAAACTATAGTTTGCGGACTGTAAACTATGGTTAACAATGTTAATCTATAATTTACATCTGTAAACCATAGTTAATGCGATATTCTATGTTTCAGAACCATAAACTATACTTAACACTGAAAACAATCATTTGTGATTGCAAAACATAGATTATCTTATAAATACAGTTTCACGATTTGTAAACTATGGTTTACAACTCTTTACTATAGTTAACGATCTGTTAAATATAGTTTTTACAAGATTTGTGAAACTGTGATTAACAACTCTTAACTATAGTTCACGATTGTAAATTATAGTTTACAGACATAAATCTATGATTATCAGCAAAATCTATTGTTAACAGTTAATTGCAGACAGATAAACTTAGATTAGCATTTGTAAACTATAATTAACAACCGTTAAATATAGTTTTACAGATGAAAACTATAGTTAATGAATTGTTAACTATAGTTCACGGTTTGTAAACTATAGTTTACAGTCAATAAACCTAGTTTATAAACTGTTAAACTATGTTTAGCTCATTTTTGTTAATTTGGCGTGCCATAGTACATAACAATGTTTGATGATTATGAATAGTTTTATGATGTCTTTATTAACATTTTTCATTACAATATTTGTTGATCATTATATATGTAGATCTTTCGAAGTCTGTGATATTTCTTGTTCTTATTTTTTTACTTTATATGATCACACATTGAAAATAAAGCATATTTACATTTTAATGGTACGTGTTGATAACCTTTTTTTGATTTAATATGGGATTTTGGATGCTGCAGCCGGCAATTTGCAAAAACTCGCTTTCAGTGATAAAGTTCATTAAGATGCATGTTCTTTGACTTGGATTTTGCCAAATTCTTTATGTTAAAAAATTATAATGAAGTGAAAGGTTGGAAATGGAAAAAGTAATTTTATATACTGAAAGGAAGAAGAAACGCATAATAGCATAATAGCGAAAAATATTTATCTATGTGGCCGAAAATTATGAAAATTGGTCAGATGTGTATTTTGGTTACTGTGCACTTAAATCGCTGGTCAAAATTACTCAACTATGAAATGTATGGTGTCACGTAGGGGAAGTGATAAAAAGCCAAATACACGTGCATGTTGATGATGACAATTTTGTGATCACATTTTGTAGTACCAAGAGATGCATTAGAGTTATAGACATCGTTTTCCTATATTTCCAGTCAGTATAAATTTCTTGCAATCATGGTATGGCTGATGGAAGTTACATTGGGTCTAATAATTGAGTTGCATAAGTGAATAAAAAGGCAACAACATGTTGCTGTGTAGTTTGTTTTTAATTTTTCAACCAAATTTTTTGTGTCAGAAAGTAACGAAGTTTCCAGCCAACCATGAGGATGAGGTTGGCGCGTAATAACGTCACATCAAGATAGGGCTTTTCACTATGACACCACGGTTATCGTCAAGACATTATCGCTGAAACCGACATTTATACAGCAGACAATCCAACTCACATTTTCACCCTAATACTGACAAAAACTCTTCTGCTCTAATTTGGTACGCAAGCTCAAGGCAACTTTACGTCGATTTTACTCTCACACTCGCACGTACGCGCCGTATGCGTATTGTTTTTAGCATGTTCACGCTGAGAAAATGTAGCCAGTGTTTGTCGATACTTCCTTACAAACATTCACGTGTACCAAATCAGCTAGATTCTGTAAATTCTATCCTAAATCGAAAATTCGTGGGATTCATTGGATGGGGGGATTTGTTAGCTTTGGAATAATGCAGCTACTATCAACCATTAAAACTTCCGTCGAAAGGCTTTAATGATAATCCTTGAGAAAGATAAATGCTCTGGTGAACTCCATGCACAAGAAAGTTAAGGCTGTTACTGGTGCGCAAGGGAGATGATGAGAATTTTTATTTTAATTTTGGGGGGTATCGACATATCAATTTCAATAACTCAGGAATTATCAGTCAAGGTCACACAAGATTTCGGTTACTTATTGTTTAAAGTTGAATTAGAATGTTTGATAACAATCCTGGAAAACATATTGGAAATAAAAGTTTTAATTTTATTCAAAAGTTTATTATGCGTTTCTTTTTCCTTTCAGTATACTATGAATAAATCTCAGTTTCAAAATGAAAGAAATATAAGATATGTTTTTCAAATTCAATTTTACTGACAATTGCTTGAACAAATTGTATAATTTTCTTCTCTGTCTTTAAGAATTTTTCACCATGAGCCCTAGAACGAAAATAAGATAAAAGATTATGTCGCTAAAGATCAAGCTTCAGAATATCATTTTCATGTTGAAATGAACGATAAGCAGACCCGAGATTAGATAATATGATGTCAAATAATATGCCAATGAACTATTTTTATGATATAAGATTTTAAGTATCAGGATTTAAGATGAGGAGTGGACAATGATACGAAAAAGTGAATAAACTATCATAAATAGATAAAAACACAATTTATATTACTGCAAAACATGAATTTGTGGAAAAACTTTATATACTGTAGTATCGTTAGTCAAATAAAAGATAAGACTTAACTACTCACATTTACCGGCGGCATAGTTTATTAGTACAGGTGTACCCTGAGGGACATTGACTACAAGTAGAACCCTCAATATATGGCCGATCGCAATTCATGTTCCCACTGTTAATAAAAAAGGAATAAAACTACAAAGATTATTTTCGATAAAACAGACAGATTTTGATTATGATTTGATTGATTGTATGTTGTTTAACGTCCTGTTCAAAAATTTCGATCGTATAGAGAAGACACCATAATTCCTAGGTTTTTTCATTGTTCATTCATAATGGTATTGTAGAAGTACTAGTATTATTAATACATGTACTTGTTTACCGTTCGCCGTAATTACAGACGTAGAAGTAGGCAGAGTCCGATTTATCCACCAAAGGTGTACACAAGGTTACAGCACATCCCACGTATTCTGTCTCCGCCCACGCTACCTTCAAAGGACAAAAAAATTCTCTAACTACATTAAGGACAGATGATACAAACAAATTTTTTCTTTGAAAAAGATTTAATATCATGTCACAAGTTTAGAAATGTAGATGGTTCTTAGAATTTTTTCTCCTAAGAACTTGAATGTGAAAAAGAATTGGAAAATTTTAGTAATATTTCAATGAAAAAACAAATATATAGACAAATCACATTCAGTAAAGGTTTACAGGTGAAAACAAATTTCAGAATATGTTAACATGGTGCTAAATGTGTAATATAAAATTAAGAAAAATATGCCAAGCCAGGTGAATTTTATTAGGAAAAGCTAAATGGTAAAAATCAGCCTATGTGATATTGCTAATAATATGTTTTTTTTATTGAAATATTAGTAATATTTTCCAAGTCTATTAAATTTTCCAGTACTTCGAATAAAAAATTCTAAAAACCATCCACTTTTCTAAACTTGTGACATGATATAAAATCTTTTTCAAAGAAAAAAATTGTTTGTATCATCTGTCCTTAAAACTAAAAAAAAAAACAACAAACAAACCACACAACTTCTTTCTCTGTTTTCTTCTCAGAACTATTTAATCTTACCTGAGTGTAATGCCCGCATTTCTTATTAGGAACACACGTATTGGCATAGTAGTCGTAATCATGTTTTTCGTCATCCCAGCTAGTAACAACTTCAAAAGGAGTGTTTTCGTCTGCATAAGAAATATTCAACATTTATTTAAATGTTTGTTAAAATTAATGTGCATATTCATTTAATGGATGTTATTATATTAGACTTATTTGATTCAGTTTCGAATGTGAAATTAATGTATCTAGATGTAAGCATTTTTTTAATGCCTTCTTGTTTAGCTAAATTTGAAACAAAATAAAAGATTAATTAAGTCTTAAAGATTCCATACTAGTATCATAACGTAAATTTTCTCCCACTCTTCTAAAACTTGGAGCCTCCTCATATTTATTTGGATTATGTTTATACACGCACTTCCTGGAATAGTTCAGAGCCACCGATGCCAACTCTGCACTCCATTTCTATTCAAGGTACATTGAAAAGTTTAAAATTAAGTTTGACAGAGACAAAAACTACATTTACCGATATCTTGGTCTTTGGCTTATCAAATTTATTATTTTTTTTAAGTTTGAGGTTTAAATTTACTTTTTTTTCTTTTTTTAACACATATCGTCTCAGTTTGAATGAAAAAAAATGTTTATTGGTGAACAAGATTTATGGATATGAAAAAAAATGTGCATTTGCATAAAGAGGAAAAAAAACCGCGAAAAATGTTTATAATAAATTTTACTTACCAGTTCTCTCATGTTCGACGCCGTTGGCACCACAATCCTTCGCTTATTGTTATGGGCCTTTTAAACAAGAAAAAAAGACAGAACGAAACATTATGAAAGTTAACATATTTGAATGTAGATAGATATTCAAAATGTCATTCAAATCGAATGAAATTCTCTCTAAATCAACGAGAAAATCTCTTTTAATGAAAAAGCTAACGACATCACTAAAAGATGTATCTCTTTTAATCTGTGAAAGAGATACTAGTAGTATACGTGTATGAGTACCTTTAAAGCAATTTGAGCTGCATTTTTGAAAATTTTATTTTTACTGTTAAAATGTGTTATGATTTGTATGTAACTTAAACCTTTATGATCAATTAGACTAAAATTAAGCAGAAGAAAGACATCTAATATACAATCCAATAGTGTGTACGCAGTTTTATATGTTGTCATCATATTGTTCAGGATGACAACAATGTAATTTTTATTCAATCGAAGCTTATAAATAGTTCTTCCGTCGCAAATATGAACAGTTTTTACAGAAGTTAATTAACACTTTTTCCTTCTGTCAGTGAAAAAGTTATTTACAATTTTGAAACAAAAATTCCGACACCAAAGTTGCAGTCCATATTGCTTTACAATAAGAGGGTATCTTTAATGTCATTGAAGGTTTGATCATGAAATTACATATGTACGAGGGGGTATCAAAAAGTTCGTGGACTAGCGCCATAAAATTAAAACCACTTTAGGTACATTAATGAATTTTAAAATATCAATTTAGCATCAACTTTTCTATCTATAGAATAAACCACAAATCATAAATTTTATTTTTTAATAAATTAGTAATGTTTTTATAAGCATTGGTTTGTCCAGGCGGCGCAACCTCGAAAACGACGTTTTTTTTTCGACCTAAGTGTAACTGAGAAAAACTATTTTGATATGAACATCTAAAATCTAAATATCACGTTTATTGCAGGTATGTGTTGGGACACTATTGTTCCATAAAATATCGAATTTTTATCTCATTCTGGAAGTTCCATGAAATTTTATCTCAAATTTTACATGGAGTATCCAAACAAATATTGCCTTGTAAATGACGTCAAAAGGGGGGAGGGATTTCCTTTTCCAACATTCTATAAAGTTTTGCCCCTGAAAATAAATGATATAGACCTAGGAAATTTTTAAACTGGCTACAGAGAAATAATATTCATCCAGAGTACTTGTTTTTTAATGCCATAATAGGTTCAGAGAGAAAAGGAAAACACAGTTAGTGCCTATTTGTAGTCAAGGTGTAGAAAATCAATCATGTCAAAAAATGACGTTAATCATGTGTTGTAGTTACTGAAGTCCACGAATCAAGCGAGGATCTCTCCCACTTTATAAATCCATTTGCAATATTATATGCATTGAAAACTGCTGTTCAAGACATTGTAAAATCATATAAACAAGGATGATTTAAGTCCTTACTCAGCTAAAGGGAATCTCACCACAATAAGTGTATGAGGTAGAAGAAGCAGACATTGAAAAACAATGACGTTGTCGGACGTCAGAAAACTAAACGGCAACGGCGCCGGGTGATGATATAATGTTTTTATTTTATGATAACTTGGGAAATAATGAACGTATCAAGCTAAAATTTTCAACTTTTCTTTATTTTTTGATGTTTTATATTCCTTAAAAAATTTTTAAGCTCAGACTGCATAATAATATTTTTATAGCCTCAGTCCACGAACTTTTTGATAACCACTCGTACATATCTATACTTACATCTAGGAAATCTTGTTCAAACTGCGTCAAGGCGGCTGCTAGCACCCCACAGAACACTGCAAACACAATAATAGCAGAACACACTTTTGTCATTTTGCTACCAAACCGTAATACATTTGGTTTAAGATGTCTCAAGATCTGCTTTGCATTATATATATAAAGCGACTTAATTGATTTTTGATTGATAATATAATTTGCATTGATATTTTGTTCACATTATATTTGCCTTTTAAGAGAGACATATTGATAATAACAATCAGTTTGAGATTTAAAAATTGATTACATTGTGCTCAAACAGGATATTTTTGAAGAAAAGAACCATCCCTACCTATATCATTATCCTTTTCAATCAAATTGAAATTTGTAATTTATTACTAAAGACATGAAAACTTTTGATTATTATTGTCCCCTGTCGCGATGAAGTTGTGTGATAAACATTTTTTTTAAACATAGAAGCAAAATAATTCCTGTAATTTTTTTATTTTATGCTTTTCTTCATTTTGAACAAAAGTACAGTTTTGATATAATAACACACGTATTGGACAACAGATACAAAAATCGATACTGTTTGTTAAATTTTATAAAGTACATTGTATTAGAACTGTAATAACTCAGCTGAATTCAAAATTGAAATGTTCATTTTATTTCATACTTAATAAGAAAGAGAATAACATATTTCTTGAAAACTATATCATCTGATACTTATTTTAAGTAGATAGTTGGTTAATCCGTATGCTAATGGGTACTATAGGCTTTGCAATGCTTCTAGTGAAATATATAGAGAAAACGAACCGTAATATTCAGGATCAAAAATCCATTAAACAATATATAGCAGGAACAAAGCAAATAGAGACCTCTAAAAGAACAGAGATTGGATCAGGTGCCATGGAGGATTTCGCATCCCCTACCGACCAGTCAACCCACCGTGTGCTCTTTGTCACACCCACCATGTGCAACTTGTTTGTCAATAATGTCGATAAGTTGCCTCGATTTAGACATTGTTCATACGTAGAGCATGCTTCTGCGTATCGAATTAATCGAGGTGATAAAAGTTTATTATTGCTGCATAAGTAAGGAAGCTGAGAATTGAAAAGTTAAAGTCATCACATTTATCATAAAGCTTTGTTGTTAGATTACATGTACCATTAACGTACTTTTCTAGTATAATATCCAATTATGAAATAAATGTGTCAGATTCTGTGATATCTTTATTTCAAGCTAGTGCTTGTCCACATCTCGCTTTTAAGTATTATATCGCTGGATAGCAGTAAATTAAAAGGAGAGACCAAATACTAGTATACGCGTTTCTTTCCACAGAACATACATGTAGGCTTTCCACAAGTCCTTTTCCATATCTCTTTGCTGAAGCAGGCGAACATTTGTCACTGTTCGATCCCAGAATGACCTCCCAAGGATGCATGGGGAGATGATACTCGAGAGTCATGTCAGCAGTTAATCTAGGAGAGGAACTTTGATCACAAAGAACTGCAGTGTTGGACATCCAGACATGATGTAACATGGTTGTTGGACATAAGGCCTATTACTTTCTTCCAAAAACAGATGTTATAGACCTAGGAAAACTGTTTCAACAATAAACACTACTATAAAGGGAAAGGTAATGGACCATGCGAGATTCTTAACAAAGTTTTATTGGGAAATACATTTAGAAAAAAAGGACATAAATAGACCGAAGGAAACATAGATGCCATCCATACACCCAAGAAAGGATGTTGAAATATTAAAGTCAAAAATTCGGTCTTTTCCATGCTCTTTTGCTTGTGTTAAATTGTTCTTCACACAAGCTTTAAACAATTTTTAAAATTAAAATCTGTTTAAAATGTCATTGATAATTTAATAAAAATTAAAAAAGTCAACCAGAAGTATTGAGACAGTTTCTCCAAAAGTGTTTTCATAAATGACACATCATTTTGATCTACGTTTTGGTGAAATCAAATCAAAGCTGTAAGCACATTCAAACATTCAACACATGCTATTTCAAGAGTTCTTTTGAGTAATATCCATCTACATATAGCAACTATAATTACAGCTATTATGATTACTTACCTTAGTATGATTTTGTAGTGGACGACTTTTTTTTTAAAATCAATTCAAAACTGAACGATGTTCAAAATGCATTTAACATCTTATTCTATCCTTTATATTAACTATTTCAACAATGTTCATAGAAATTATGTACTAATCATGTACTAACATTAAGCGTACTGTACTAAGGGGTGATATATCTGTTTCCAAGTTTTATTGAAATCGCTTTGAACAAATATGTGTGAGAGGTACACGTAGCACTCTGAAACAATATTACATAAAAATAAAAAGTTTTGAAAGAATTATACGGACACTTTAAATTCTAGTAATAATGGAAACACCTTTTGATAAAATCTAGAACGGATACACAACTGTGCATTTATTTAGTTTTAACTGTTTCTTAAGTCTTGTTAAATTGGTAACAAAAATGTTTTACTCAAGAAGAAGCAATATTCTCAAACTGACGTTCTGTTTACAGACTACTGGACGTTAAGTTATTAATTAACTATCCAACAAATTCTTGTTGTCTATGACAGAAAGAGCTAAAATGTGACAGGTAAATAGTAGCTTCATATCTATTGGCAAAAAATGTTTGAATAGAACAATTTTAGTTTTTATCTTTCAATATTAATTGTAGAGTTTGTTGAAAGAAATACCTTCGAGTAAAAGTCGTCACTTTTTGCACATTCCCATGGCAACAGTACCCATTTTGAAACTGAACGTCCTCACTGCAAAACTACAACCAGTGATCGTCTTTTGTAGAAAGTTTCAAGATTGTCCCAGCCATCTCCGAGAAAAAGCGCGAACAAAGTTTTAGGCGTACAGTAGCAATATGTCTTTCGTAATCTTCTTATTTTTCTTTTGTATCGGTATAACAAAACAGTTAACAGTATATAATTGAGGGAATTAGCAAGATTCCAGTTCCCTTGACTAGGACTATTTCCCTCGCCTGCACCTCGGGAAAATGTCCTGGCCTTGGGGAACTGCAATCTTGCTAACTCCCTCAATGATATATTTTAACTGTATAATAAGGATATGGAGATAACGAACAGTATTGATATCAAAGTCCATAGAACAATACAAAATAGGAGCAGAGCAAACACAAGCATTTCAATTAAAATATATGTACCTTCTTTCCTCGATATTGTCACATTAACGAAATTCAGTTCAGATCCACACGCGTTCAAGGAAGAATTAGAAATTTCACACCGGAAATGGACTGCTCTGTCGTATTGTGTTATATGGTAGATTATCCTGCTGAATTTTACCGATTCTACGGAATTGTTTCCAGAAGCTTTTATTTCCTCTTCTTGAAGAACTATTTTGTTCCAGATGACTTGGTCATTCTTTCTCACACACCAGTTCAATACCTATTAACAGGTCGGAGAGAATACTCGAGATCGGGTATTATCCGTGAAATCGCGTATAATACCCGATATTAGGGTATCGTTGAATCCTCGAAATCGGGTATTCCGTGCAACTTTCTTTAAAAACAAAAGAATAAAGCAACGGCGCATTATGCCAGTTACTGTTACTTGTACATCAGTATCTAATGGATTTATTTTTATCAAACCTAATTCATACAGTTGTCAAATAAGTTTAAAATCACACGACAAACACTGCTGGGGTAACAAAGAAGACACAATGGCCTTATTATTTTTCAATATAATTTCTAAAAACAAATAACTACACTTCTTATGTCTTTATTTCCCATTAAAGTATTCCATATACTTAATTTTCTAATTTGTGCACTATTCACAAAATGTGAAACTTTAAAGAAATTAAACGACTAACGCCGTGTTAGTGAAAAATGTATGGCGTCCCTTTCACGTGAAATATAAATTATTCCTAACAGTTAGAGAGTACAGTATAAGCGAGTCATAATTGTATATCTCCATATATATTGCCATAATAGAATACCAACGTTATTATAAAGAAGAAAATAAAATAAGATAAAATAAATACCCACGGGAAAACAGGTTGAAAATAGCTAATTGAAGGTGAGTATCTTTTTTTATGTCAATTTAGCATTGAAATTTTTATTCAAAGGTTGCATTTTAATTGATACAAGATATGCTATTTTTTCTTTATTTTATGCATTTGTGTGAAAATTGAGAGCAAGAAGTCATATAAACAGGATTTTCTTGTTTTTTTTTGTTTGTTTGTTTTTTTTTGGGGGGGGGGGTATAAATAAAAGTCAAATGTGTACATCTTTTCGGAGTTTTATGAAGAGACTTACTTTTACAATCGACGACTGACTTCTAAAATTTAAACAAAGAACAACTCCAATTAATTACCAAAATATAAAAGTCAGCTGTTGAATGTAAAAGTAAGCCTAGGCCTCTTCATAAAACTCCTTCATGAGCTTATAATACATTGAATTTCTCAATATAGATCGAGGTACAGTCATATTGAAATATGAATTATATAGTCAAAATTTCACATTTCTCATAGTTTTTACGTTTATGAATATGTTAATGAACAAACTGAAATAATGGAGTGTTCAATTGCCTTGGAAACTCTTGTCTTACCTTTTGGGAATATGATTCCTCATCGGACATTAAAATTTCATAAAAATTGAAGCCACTTCCTTTCTTTATTATACTAATTGATAGACAGGGTAAATTTTACCTCTTTACCATCTATATTTTTCTTGTATCGCTATCATATACCTCATTATGATATGCGAATACAACGCACTATCTGATTGGTTCTAGACAATATGTCACAGTTTTCTTTTAGTTATTTTATCTATGATACTTATTACTCATGGCAATAACTTTTCTTAATACTCATCTGTAATAAAAAAAAATGTGTTTAAAAAATAAACATGAATTCTAGTTACTTGTAGTCTCATATTGTGTTAGAAAATAACAGGTTGCTTTTTGTTTACCTATATAATTTCTATTTGATGAATAAATCTTCCCTACAATTAAAAATATATAACCGGGTTAAACCGACCGTGACATTCAAAGAGAGGTCTCTTGGACACATGTAGAACACAGTCAAGGTTGTTTTGTCAGAGGTGGTCAAGAAGCCTTTCGCCCCCCCCCCCCCCCCTTTGAAGTCTCCAAGAAATGGTAAAATATTGATGACTTAAGCGAAATTAAACGATCAACAGTTACGTTCTCTCATAAGCTGTATTCCTGAAACTATTACTGTCTCTGCTAAAATGTTGAAGACATATTCTGCAAATATGTATGAATGATAAAAAAAAAAGATTTTCAAAAAAAAAAAATAAATAAAAAACAGAAAGAGGTTTTTTAGAAGAAATTTTAGACATTTTTATCATTACATTATTGATACATTCATGAATAAATTTGATTTTATGCACAAGATGAATGTGAAAGTAATTAATGACGCATAATTAGATACGATAGACAATCCCTTGTATATACATAGCATCATATCTTGTGTGTGAAATGTGTTTCCGTATAATTTGATTTATTTACAAATTGTTCTTGTTTGTCGTGTTGATGTGAAATTATTATAAATTCCCGAATTCTGATACTTTACCATTCTGTTGTGTTGGGAATGAACATTAGGAAGATGCTTATACTTTCAACATTATGAAAAATATAAAGCAAATCGAACGCCTTTTTGTGTGCAGATCATGAAATGTACTGACTTCCACGAGTATTTGTTGTCCAGAGCGCATTAATCTTGACGCCCAAATTCTTACTTGGCTAGTGATACCTTTAGAAAACATGGGTATCTAGATGAAAGTTAACTCGGCAACATGCACCATCCCATTGTTTAAGTTTTATTAG